GTAAAGTTGTTCTAAAAGTTCAAACACATTCATAATGTATGTTTGATTAGGATATGCAGATGCTATGGTAATAAAATTCCTACCTGCATACTATTTTAATGCTTTCACAAAGAAATACTGAATACTTTCCCCTTAATTTCTAGACGTGCTAAACAGTATAATAAATACTGACAATGCAAGAAAATAAGAACACATAGGGTTGCACAGTCTGAATGCAGTCGGCCAACCTGGTGCTCCACAAACTAACCACATCCACTGTATCCTGATGGCAGCAACAGTAGAGAGAAGCCTTTAAGCCGCGGAACAAACACACTGTTCACTGGACTGAGCCTCTCCTAATTAAAAGGTGGTTTAGAAGGACTGACAATTGATTGTCCTTTTCTCTCCTGGGGTGTTTACTTTCCTACTATCTTATCCTCCTTCTCCTTGTCTCCTTGTCTTATCCTCCTTTCCCACCGCCTGCGTAGCAGATCTATGCCTGATGAATGAGGCCAGATTCTTTCTCAGGGAAGATTAGGACTAATAACTGTAGGTGGGACATTTCCAATCAGAAAATCTGAAATTGCAAATGATTCAAAATCTGATTTTTTCTGAGTACCAACTTGACAGCTGAGAGGGAAATCTCTATGCCATGAAATTTTGTTTCATGAACAAATTTATGAAAATTACTGTATAAAATTACCTTTGGGTACATGTATAAGGTATATATGGAAGGTAAATACATTTTGTATTTATATTTGGATTCCATATTGAATGTATATCATTATGTATGTGAAAATATTTTTTCTTTGAGTAGGTTTTTAAGTTAGTTTTTGTGATTTTCATACAATGTAATTTGATGGTTTTTAGATGCCCTCTCCTATTTGAACCTCCTCTTCTTGCCCCTGCCCAACTGAATGTGCTCTATTATATATCATAAGGCCCATAGAATATAATTTGTGCTTCCAAATGTCCTTCAGTGTAGGTTCATCCACTGGAGCCTGTTTAACCTACCAAGAGTCCTACTAAGAGTCCTTAGATGGGGTTGGAATTTCTTATCTACTTCCTCACATCTATGCTGGGATTTTTTCTGGTCTGAGTTTGCATGGGATTTGTGCATACTGTCATCATTGCTGTGAGTTTGTATGAGTAAATTCCAAGCTGTCCGGAAAACTCCTTGTGGTCATCCACCACCTGTGCCTCTTACGATCTTTCTGCCTCCTCTTCTGCAATGATCCCTGAGCCTCAGGAGGCAGAAGTTGGAGATATGCGTTCTATTCAGGAATAAGCACCCTGCAGTCTCTTGCTCTCTTCACGTTGGCCATTGTAGCAGGAGGCCTCCAAAGATGGCGGGGACCCAGAGCCCTGGGATTCAGTGAGAAGTCACTTCACTTCTTGGTCCCCAAATAGCCCGCCAAAAGGAGCCCGGCCTGCTGGAGAGCCCAGTGACTGCTGACAGGCTGCATGGCGTGGACCAATCAGAAAACGATCGGCTGACTAAAGGAACTTGGGGGCAGAGAAAAAGGAAATATAAAGCCTGCCCCCTCCTGCATTAAACGAGCCTGCAGCACCTCGCCTAGTGCTTGCTTCTACCCGACTCCTGGAGCCTGTGTGTTGTGACTCCACGCCTCTTGTCCCCCTAATCGGCAGGGGACCTGATCCAGGTTAGGGTCTTCACAGCTAGCCTGAGGAGAATCTGCAGCAGGCCAGTTGTGGGTTTCTGTGTTAATCACCATCTATTGTGTGAGATGCATTTTTTAAGTTAGTTTAGCATGATAACTATATAGTAGAAAACTAAAACTAGTATTAGGTCTTTTTCCTTGTGTCCTGTGACCTGTCTAGCCTCAGGTTCATGCTGGAAGGTGCTATGTATGCTACCTACCAGAAGGCAAAAATAGTCATCAACTGTACCAAGCTGTGAATTCTGTGAATTACAATAGCAAATGGCCTGGAAAGATATACTAACTGGCGCCATAGTGACACAAACATTATGGGAGCTACCAAGTGTTCTTAAGTTGCATTTAAGGTCTGCTTCCTAAGATGGAGCCCATATCTGACATTGATATCAGGGTTAGAAACCTGAGAAATATGCAAATATTCTAAAGTCAAAAAAGATACTTCTGGTCCCAAGCATTTCAGAGCAGTGATACTCTATTTGTATATAACAATATGAAGAGTCAAAGAAATACAGTGGGGCTCACATACAAACTACAAGACTGCTGGCCTCTGTGCTTTCAGACCTTTTTATAAGGAACATTTTTAGCAATGGTGAAGTTGTGAAGAAAGTGTACAAATAGCTAACATGCATTGACAGTCCTTCTGTATTAAGATCTGGGCTGTGTCAATTTCTTACCAAATTTCACAGTGACTACCCAGATAGTTCCCATGAGGAACCTAGGATTCAAGGAGGTTTAGCAACTTGATTATTATCATGTAGTTAGATAGGAATGGCCAGGCGTCTTCAAGTATAGACTGTATAGACTGAGGCTTACTACCAATTGGAATCCAGTAACATCTTTTAAAAATTACTTTTAGTAAGTATACAAAATAACACTTTTCAAGATGATATTTTCACACATCTGTATCATTTAATTCCCTCTTCTTTGCACCTTCCCACCATCACCATTCCCTGTCCATTCTTCTCCCATATGCTGGTTCCCTTTCTTTTCGCCAATATTCCCCCTTGTGCTTTCGTGTCACCTGCATATATACATATATGTTTATGTTGGTTCCATATAGAAGAGAAAACATGAACTACCTTCCTTCCTTCTTCTCATTATCTTTCTCTTGTTCTGCCCTTCCCTCTCCCAACCCATTTAGAGCATTTCTTCCCTACAGTAGGAATCCCTCTTCTACTTTCATGAACTATTATTATAATTATTATTATTTTATTTATTTGTTTATTTTTGGTTTGTTGAGGCAGGCTTAGTAGTCACAGCTGGCTTGGAACTATGTAGATCAGGTTGGCCTCTATCTAACAGACATCCACCTGCCTCTACCTCCTGAGTGTTGGGATTAAAGATATGTGCCATCACATCTGCACTCTATATGTAAATATTTTTTAATTTAAATTCTGCATATGACTTAAACATGGCATTTGCTTCCTGAGTCTGTCTTATTTTGTTCAACACTACGTTTATTCACCAGTTTCATCCATCTTACTGCAAAGGACATACTTTCATTTATGCAGGAATGGTATAATTGGGTCATGTGATAGTTCTATTTTTGTTCTCCCAAGTGCTTGCAGTAATTTGCTTTCATGCTGGTAGTATATAAAATTTCCCTTTTCATCATATTCTCACCAGCATTTGTTGGTTTTCTTGATGATAACTATTAAGACTAGGGTGGAATGGAATCTATTTCCATCCTTTCCAGTCCCCCTCCAATGCCTTCTATCCCCCTCAACTCCCTTTCAAATTCTCATTCTTTTCTTTGATTATTATTTTATATATACATACATATATTTATAAACACAGACACACATAGATAATGCACTGAGTTCATTTAGCAGTGCTCCTGTGTACCTGTGTTTAGTTCTGCCCACTTTTAGATAACCTCTCAGGGAGATATTCCCTGTGGAGAAAACTGATTCTCTCTCCCTCAGCATCCATTGATTCTCTGTAGCTCTTCGTCTTGAGGTGGGACCTTGTGAAGTTTCCAGCATGCACTTTAGCTTGTCAACTGGTCTTGTCACTATACAGACCCTGTTAGACTTCCATACTATGGAGATTTCATTGGTATAGCTTCCTTATCACGTTTAGAATGCATTAACTTGTACAGGTGTCTTGTTGCTCTGACTCTTACAATCTTTCTGCCCCTTGTTCTGTGATGTTCTCTGAGCTTTAGGTGTAGTGTTTGCACTATAGATGCATCACTTAGGGCTGGGTAACTCACAGTCACTTAGTCACTGTATTTTTAGCAATGGTGGAACTTTGTAATAGTCTCCATCTGTTGCAAAGAGAAGTTTCTTTGATGAGTGGTGAGAGGTGCACGTGTCTATAAATATAAGGATACATATTTAGAATGTAGTAAGAAATTACTTTGGCCTTGGAAAGGAAACTCATTAAACTAAAGAGCTTCTGTACAGCAAAGGAAACAACCAATCAAGTGAGGTGGAAGCCCACAGAGTAGGAGAGAATCTTTGCCAGCTATACATATGATAGAGGATTAATTTCCAGACTACACAAAGAACTAAAAAATCAAGAAAACATATGACCCAATTAAAAATATGGGCTACAGACCTGAACAGAAAGTTCTCGCAATGAGAAGTAAAATCGTCTAAGGGATACTTTAAAAAGTATTTAACATCCTTAGCAATTAGGGAAATGCAAATTAAAGCTACTTTAAGATTTCATCTTACCTCAGTCAGAATGGCTAAGATCAAGAAAACAACTGACAGCAAATACTGGTGAGGCTGCAAAGGAGAACCCTCATTCACTGCTGATGGGATTGCAAACTGGTATAGCCACTATGGAAATCAGTGCGGAGAACGCTTAAAAAACTAAAAGTAGATCTACCATATGATCCAGCTATACCACTCCCTGGCATATACTCTAAGGACTCAGTATCCTACTATAGAATCTCAATGTAGCTTTTATTTTTACTTTCCTGATGGATAAAGACACAGAACACTTTTTCACAAATTTATTGGGATATTCATTTCTTCTTTTGATAACTATTTGTTCTTTTCATCTGCTCATTTATGGATTGGATGATTCTTTTTTTAAATTTAACTTTACTTTTGAGAATTTCATGTGTAAGTACTGTGTTTGCATTATTTCCATCCTGTCTGGACCCTGAAATTTCTTCCATGTTCCTTCCACTCCCTCTCAATTTCTTGGCTTCTTTTTGATTATTATGTTACACAAACATACATACATTTATAAATATACATATCTATATATATAATGCACTGAGTCCAATTATTGGTGCTCCTATGTAACTGTGCCCACTTGGGATTAGGGCTGTCCACTTGGGATTAGCTGACCTCTCGGGGAGTTAGTCCCTGGAGAAAACTGATTAAAAATATGGAATGTGTCACAAAATTTGGGTATCATCATTGTACAGGGACTATGCTAATCTTCTCTGCATTGTTCCAATTTTAGTATATGTGCTGCTGAAGTGAGCACTGGGTGATTCTTTATAGTGTTTATTTATTTTCTAAGTTCTTTACATATTGTAGATATTAGTCCCATCACAAATGTGTTGTTGGCAGAAATTTCTCCCAATCTGTAGATCGTTTCTTTAATCTTCTGGTTCATTCCTTTGCTGTGCAGAAGATTTTTAATTTAATGCAATCTCATTTGTCAATTTTGCTAGTATATACTTAACCATTAGAGTCAATCTTAGAAAGTTCTTGTCTCTGCCTATATTGTGAAGTATACTTCCCAGTGTTTTCTAGCAGTTTCAGGTCTTCACTAAGGTTCTTTATCTATTTTGACTTGATTTTTGCACAAGGTGAGAGATGGATTTAGCTTGTTCATGTGGGTGTCTGGTTTTCTACGTACCACTTGTTGAAGGGCTATCTTTTCTCCATTGCATGTTTCTGGTATATTTATTAAAAATCAGGTGACTGTGTATGCCTTTTGTTTTTATTTGTATGGAGTAATTATATATAATACTGTATTTAGTTATACTATTTTAATACATGTACACAGTATATGAGCATAACTTACTATTCTCGTATTGTCTACTAAGTTTACTTTCTACCTTAAGTATTTTTAATAAGTAATTTTGATTTGCTTTACACAACCTATTACATAAAATGCAATTTCTAAAATGAAGGCTAATTTAGGTGATAATTAAGAAAAAACACTTGTTCATTACAAAAGTCAGGTGGCTGTGGATCCATGGATTCTCTGTTCTGTTACACTGGCCTACCTGTTTTTATGCCAGCATTATTGTTCTTTTGTTACTATGCTCTATTGTGTGACTGAAGTATTGTGATGCCTTCAGCATTGTTATTTATTTTATTTTATTTTTTTCTGCTTAGGATTGCTTTGGCTATTCAGGATGTTTTGTGTGTCTATGTGAATTTTAGGATTTTTTTTCCCCATTATTGTGAAGACTATCATTGGAATTTTGTTGGGAATTGCACTGAACCTGCATATTGTTTGTTAGTATAATTATTTTCACAATATTAATTCTACTAATCCAAAACCACAGATTTTTCCATCTTCTAGTGCTTTCTTTAATTTCTTTCTTTAATGTTTTAAAAATTTCATTCTAGATATCTTTTATCCCTTTTGCTAGGTTTATACATACATTATTTTATTTTTGATGCTATCGTGGGCAGGGTATTTTTACCTTCTGATTTCTGTCTCAGCAAATTGGCTATTGGTGTATACAAAGCTATTGGTTTTTGTGTATTGATTATGCATCCTGCTACTTTGTTGAAAGTGTTTATTAGATCTAAGAATTTTCTGAATGAGTCTTTTGGGTGTGTTTCAACTTGCATATCTGTTGCTTTGAATATCTCTTATGGTTTTATTTGAGGGATCTGCTTAGGAAACAGCTAAGGTGAGAGTTCAGTCCTCAATATCCCTGCAGGAAGAAGTTAAATGCTTTTACAGTAACACCAAAGTAACCAGATATAGAATATACTTAAAATAAGTTAAACTAACAAACACATAAACCAATGACCACAGAACAGTAAATGGAAAAAATAAACTAGAATGGACTATGAAGTTCAAAATTATTTAGAGTATATGTAAAATAAAAAATTTTGAATGAAATGAAGGAGGTAAAGAAAATAGAAAAGGAGAAGGAAATTTAAGTAAAATAAAATAAGAATGATGAATATTATAGTGAGAAATAAAAGATTAGGTGATAAAAATGATTGCCCAATAAAGAAAAAATCATAAACAAAATTAGATAAATGTAAGAAGAGGAATTTAAAAATTAACATGAAATACATAGCTAGAAATAAAGTCAAAGTACTACTAAAAATACAGCGAAATATTGGGTGGGGGGTAGATTTCATACAGAAAACAAAAAAAATCCCCAAACAAACAACAAAAAGTGAAATTTTTCTTTGGGGTCCTCTATTGGAGCATTTCAGGTGCAGTTGGAGTGAGGGGGTGAGTTGAAGTTGGAGACTTTATCTTTTATACTATTTAGGTTGATGTTGAGCCTGGACTGGACAAGTGTCTGATGTCCCACACAACTCTCTTCATACTAGTTTCCATTCTGTGGATAGCAGGGACCTCTGATGGCCACATTTAGCTTTACAGTTGGTCTGGAAAATTCTTCCAAACTCAGGGGACTGAAATTAGTACATTCTAGGGTGGCTAATGGTAGATAAAATATAGGGAAGAAGAGTTCTAAAAATTTTAAATTTATTTTTAGATAGGGACTCCTGTAGCCCAAGCTAGCCTAGAACTCGCTATGGAGACCAGGCTGGCCTCAGTCTTGCAGAGATCCACCTGCCTCTGTCTCTGAAGTGCTAGGATTAAAAGGCATGGGCCAAGAGGCCCAGCAGGGAAGATTTAAATTTTGAGAATTCTGTGAATATCTGTGTGGAATGAGAAAGGCGACTTGGAGGTGAGGAAAATATGTTTGATTTGGGAGTGATTTAAGGTGGAAATTTCCAAGACTGAGTATGTAACTGGTGAATAAAAGAAAGTCAGAGGAATCTAGGATGTCACCCTGAATATTCAGACAAATTGGTGGATTGTGAGCTGCCATGTGGGTGCTGGAAACCAAACCCGGCTCCACTGCAAGAGCAGCCGGTGCTCTTAACTGCTGAGTCATCTCTTCAGCCCCAATGAAGAGCTGTTTGATCAGAAGGATTACCTCAAAAAAAAAAAAGTCCGAAGCAATAGTACGAGTTACAGCCTTGACTTTGACGAGCACCAGCTCATTTATGGTCCTGATTCCTTAATGTTTTTCAGAGGAGAATGTGTATATCTACACAGCTTCTGAGAGCAATCATTTTCAGAATTGTAGCATGGTTGTTTATACTAACACTTAATTGGTCTAGTTCTAATTATTAACACAATGCGACAAAAATATGACCTACCCAGATAATCTCAGCAGCCATATCAAATCAGAAACCATGAGCAAGAATGAGATTGTGACATGGATGAGTATACTTAAAAACCTAAATTATGTATTCTACATTAAAAAAATCTGTTATACTGTCAGAATGAGCTTATTAGAATCCTGTCTTTTTGTGAAACTCTCCACAGCTAATCCTACCAATGAGGCATGCATGAAAATACTGCAGTTTTCTCATGTGTGATATTAAGTTTGGCCCTATTATGTTTTTTCTTAACTATTTGGGTTAAAAATTCTAAAAATGCTTTACTAGTAGTACAGAAAGTCTCCTACAGCATACAAAAGCATTCAAAAAATGAAAAATAAAACTTGATTTAAAGTTACAGGTTCTCATGGAATCACATGTGGACACAATCATGTAGGGTGTATTTTGCATTTAAAACGAGTTATGGCTTGAGACAGATTTCAAAGGACTTACAAAAAGTATACTACATACATATGAACTCATTAGTATGCCTTTAAAAATTGTCCTTTCTTTTTCTCCTTTCAAAATACTATGGTATATCACAATTTTTAAAATATATGTGCATGTATTGGCCATTATTGGCTAGGATCTGCATATGAGGGAGAACCTGTGCTTTTTTGTTTTGTTTTGTTTTTTTTATTTCCTGTGATTGGGTGACCTCATTTAATATTATACATTGTAGGTCCATCCCTTTTCTTGAAAATTATGTGATTTCATTTTTCTTTAAAGATGAATAATATTCCCTTTTATATACATATTTGATTTTCATTTACTGTTCATCTGTTGATGGACAGCTAGCTTGGTTCAATTTCCTTGCTATAGTGTTGATGGGATTGCAAACTGGTATTGCCATTGTGAAAATCAGAGTGCAAAACTCTTAAAAAATTAAAATTGGATCTACCATATGATTGAGTTACACCACCCCTTGGCCCTTGGCATATGTCCAAAGGACTCAATATCCTACCAAACAGATACTTGCCCAGCCATGTTTGTTGCTGCTCTTTTCAAAATAGCTAGGAAGTGGAAGAAACCTAAATGTCCCTCAACTGATGAATGGATAATGAAAATGTACATTTACAATTACACAATGTAATTTTCTTCAGCAGTAAGGGAAAACAAAACCATGAAATTTGCAGTTAAATGAAGGGGACTAGAAACTGTTATGCTAAGTGAGGTAACCTAGACTCAGACGAACAAGCCAACTTATATATGTGCATCCTAGCTCCGCATCCTTAGATGTGAGTACAATTCCCCTTATGGGGGAATTGGTCTGCTGGGGTGGGTCACAGGTGGTATCTGTGTCATCTTTGTGTTTCTTTGTTATGTTGTGGACATCTGTTGGAGTGGGTTTGTCTTTTAGTTTTGATTTCTTCCAAGATAATTTGAATGTTTTGTTTTCTGAGATTTTTTTTTCTATAGGGATAGCTGCATGAGGCTTAGCCATGAATCTCCTGGAATATGGTGTTGATTGCCTAATGAAATCACTGAAGGGATCTTATCTTGGTTATGTGCCAAAAGGTCTCAGAGTGGGGCCACACACCAAACCCCAAGGCAACCATACAGAATTACAACCTATTCACCTTCAGACTCTGTGAACTCACTATGGGAAGGACAACAAGTGTCAGACCCACCAACATATATGTACTTATCTGGAGCTATAGTTAGTACCACAGGCCTGAAGCTACTATTCGCACCATAGCAGTATAGACTGTCACTCCTGCACTGACCACCAAAACCCCAGAAGGCTTAACTCCACACTCACACTACCCTTAAAAGACCACTGGAACCAAAGCTCAGGCTTTGCACTGACCTCTGAGCCCGCCAGGGTCAGAGGCCTGGTTCCATGGTATTCCCAGGTTCTTCTGGAGGTGAGGGTCTAGTCCCCAGATGTTTTCTGGACCCACAGTGTGGGGACCTAAAGGCCCCTCCTTGCAGAAGAAGTTACTGGGGCATGGCCTGACTTGTTTTGAAAGTCTGAAGGATACTTCTGCACTGCTGAGGAGTGCATGATCAGTGTATGATCATCCTTAAGATACACCCTCAGGGGGGAGGGGAGGGGGATTTCCAGATGCCTTTATAAGCTCTGTAATGCCTGCAATAAATGAG